GAAAGCTGAACCACTCCACAATATAGGCTCAGTCCAATGCTTACCTTTATGATTTGTGATATCAATCCAAGAACTAAATGAGGCTGCATGCAAAACAGTGTAAGTTTGTTTAAGTCATCAGGTTCTTCAATGAATTGCATGAATAAAAACTGAGAAATGAGTGTGATAGAGTCCATGCAACAAGGTGACTAAATGTCAATAACATAGAGAAGCAGATAGGAGAAGAGAACAAGCAGCAAACGGTCAAAGAGCAATAAAAATACAGGGCATGTACCAATAGGTATAAAGAATAGAGAGATAGGTACAAAGTAGTAACCATAGCTAGTCTGGTACCCCAAGTTAAACAAGCATTGTACAATACGTTGAAGTATCATAGGAGATATAGTTTGATGAACACATCACTTAACTTTCCTAGATAAATAAAACTGCAGCATAGGAGTAAGTTAGAAGCAAGGCTTCAAGGGCAGGCACACGTATCATACCCTTCCCTCCACCAAATCCTGTGTGCCAATGTTGACAACAGTGCATCCAATGGCCTTGGCAGAATTGAGGCAGAGTGTGTGATTTTCATTTCTCTCCCATGGGTTAAGAACTCTTTTCTTATTTATTGCCCTCTCATCAATGGTCCCAGGTACAGCTACATTGATCAATTTGCTGAGAAAATGAACCATCAGTGAACAACCATCAGAAAGGTCTAGTGTCAGATAGTTTTTGTTTAATAAGGGGATGCACTCTGCTACTATCTAGAAACAAGAGAGGCATCTCACCAGAGCAGAACACCGTCCCGGATGAGATCGAACAGCTGGTTTCCAGATGGGTCGATGGGCAAGTACTTCTTCAGGAATGGGTCTTCACGGAGGTAAGTATTGATGTGCGCCACATACGACGATTTCTCTGCCTGATTGAGATTGTGCAGCAGCGTAGTGGTGCTGGACTTGAGGAACGACGACTTGCCACCCCCGCCACCGCCGGCACCACCTCCCTTGGCACTCACCCGCGCCTGCAGATTCAGATACTCCTGCAACAACATCGCACCAGATTCCCTAGTCCCGTCAGAACAAATTGAGAATAGCAATCCATTCCTGTCCACATTATAAATGAATAACTCAGAGAAACGCCGAGATGTATGTACCCGGAGGAAGGATTCGAATTCAATCTCCTGATCGCTGTCGGGGTACGACTCCGACAGGAAGGCCGCGATCTCCTCCTCAGAGACCACCTCATTGAGCCCCCTCAGCTTCTTCATCAGCCCCGGCAGATTCTTAGTGGTGACATGGCCGGAATCTCTCTTCAGAGACACGAACTGCAACACCCGCAAAATAAAATTACCAAGTGAACAAAACCGGCGAACCAAACGCAAAACAACTGCTGTTTCAGGTGCAGAGGAGGCGGGGGAACGAAGAAGCAGCCCGCGGATTCGGACGTCACCTTGGCCTTGAGCGATCGGAGCTCGACCTGCGTGAACTGCCCCTGCAGCGAGGGGTCAGACACGACGACCCCGACGAATCCGGACATCTCCGCCGGCCACGGGCCGATTCCACCCGCGCCCGGAGCGGCTGCAAGAGGGAATCCAGATCAGAGTGGTCACGCGGCCTGGATGTAATGGAACCCCTGACCCTGAAAAGGGGTACGGAGGAGATGGCGCGTCCCGCCGAAGCCGGTGCGGTGCGGCGCGGCGAGGAGATACCTTTCGAATTGGTCACGGCAATCCCTCACCCCTCCCTGGCGTGCGGTTTCCTTGCGCTCGACGGAAAAGGTGAGCAATGGCGTCCAGGACTCCAGATTTCGTGGGGGCCGGGGCGCAGACGGAAAGTGGTGGAGACGAGGAGAGGAGGTAAGGGCAGGGGTGGGGCCGGTTTATTCGGGCCGGTTTAAATTCAGTGCATAAAGTTTGGTAGTGTCACGTGTGTGCATAGTAGAGTGTTTGAATACTAATAAAAAAATAAATTATAGAATTCGTCAGTAATCCGTAAGATAAATTTATTAAGTCTAATTAATCTATCACTAGCACATGTTTTTACTGTAACACCACATTGTTAAATCATAGACTAATTAGGTTTAAAAGATTCGTCTCGTAGATTAGTCGCAAACTATATACAATTTAATTTTTTAGTTTATATTTAATACTTCATGCGTGTGTCAAATATTCGATGAGATATGAAGTAAGCTTTAGGAGATGAACTATGTTTCCTCGGGGTTAAGCCATTGGAATCGAGGAAACTGCTGCTATTTTTTTCACCTTCCTATTACTTTATTCAGAGGGCTGAATTGATAGACTTTTTAGGTTTGTTCGCTTAATTTATCAGCCGGTTTATCAGCTAGAATCTATAATATTTTTCTCTCATAATAAAAAGCCATAGTACTTTTCTCTCACACCAAAACATATGCATGCTAGCATAGAAGAAATGGTTTTTTCTATCCATAAAGCAAACTTAAATTAACCATAAAATCAAATTCATTACAAACTCAGGGGATTGATTCATAAACACAAACCGGTAGTACGAATCAAAGGCTGACGCTCACCATGAGCAGTTAAACAATCTGTCATTGGGTCGTTGTTACTACAAGACTGCAAACAGAAAACAGTTCATTCAGAATTATTAATATTGGTACACGGTTGCCGGTGACCCGCGAGCTAAACAGGGATTCAAAAGCCAAAAGAGCGCACCGGCCAGTCAAGCGAGATACAGATACCAGATCAGACCGACAATTCGGCGCGGCCCACCGCCTGACAGCGCGCCCTTGTCCCCTTGCGATTTTGTGTTGCCGAAAGCGTCACCGGCCTGGGTTGTGTTTAGTTAAAGAAATTTTTTGAAAAACGGTACTGCAGTATTTTCGTTGTTATTTGATAATTAGTGTCTAATCGTAGAAGCAATGTTCCGAATTAATTTTATTTTTATTTATATTTAACTTCTTCGCGTCAAAACAAAATTTTGAGAACTAAAAGCACCTTGGCTTGGCATGTTCCGACGCGATACTCTACTTCGCGTCAGAACAAACCAGGCCCGCCGCCCGCGTACACGTACCACTCCACATGGCTGCCTGCATGCCCGCGCCCCCGCCGCCTCTAGCCCGTCGGTCCCATCACAGCGATCGCGTGGCTCGTCCGTAGACACACACGTACCGTACATATACACCTCGTTTATCTGCAGCAGAAATGGAGAGGCACAAATATTCTTACTTGCAAAAGCAAAAACTCGTGACTGACGCTGCCATGCTGGACTACATTTTCGATTCTACAGTATCTATCTATCTACCTGAACGATCGCAAGGAACATTTCTGTGCTTGACTGCTTGCGGTTGCACGCGGTATGAGCTGCATGGGCGATCGAACAATTCAGCTACTCCCGTCACGCATCAGACATGAAAGGGAAACGGAAACACCTTGGGCAGATCACCGTAGATTAGACGGCAAACAAAGCAACCATCGCATGACCCTGGCCCCTAGGCGAGCGTAAACGCAGTGGCCTAGTAGCTGACAATTGCGCTCCTCCTGTCAAAATTGTCTCGCACGGTCGTTCCAATGCCCTCTACGAAAATTCCAGATCGCCAGGCTTGCAGTCCGCACGGCTGTTTGTGTTTGTGCCGAGCGGCACACAGCTGCGTCGGTCGCCAGTACATTCCTTGGCTTACTATATTCGGCGTGGATCTCGGGCGCCTGCCGAGCCGAGCGTCACCGCGTGCGAGTTGTGACCCGACGGCAACAGTAGGCGAGAGAAAAAAAAGGCAGCAGAGGGGTCTGACGCGGCCAAATGCAGTTCGGACGGAGGAACAGGAGCGGGAATTCTCTGAATAAAGTAGCATCGCGTGATGGGTTTGCTCCGCATCCGCGGCTCCGCCTGGTCACATGGCACATGCGTCCGACCGACGAGGTGGAAGGGCCGCGGCGTGAACGTGCTCACTGCTCACACGTCTTTTGTAGCGTGACGATTTTTACTCCGCTCACGTGAAGCGGCGCTGCGTGGCTGAAAACCGAAAAGGGTCAGCACTAATGCACTATCATAATGGACCTTTTACGGTGAACCGTGTCAGTGTTGGGCCAGACTCCACCGGTTTGGTCGGCCTGGCCCAGTGCTTAGACCGTTTCCTTCTCTTTTCGTCAGCGTGCTGCCCCAGCACTGGACCGGGTCTATCGGCACTGTTCATTGGTCCAATTTGCCTCTGGTATTCCCACCAACTCACCAAACTCTACGCCAGGCGGCCTCTGGTAGGAGAAGCGCAAAGCCAACCTGCTACGATTGTCCACTCCTTGACTGCTAGTGCTAGCACACATCTTACAGGAAACAAGTCGTGTGCAGGCCGGCCTTGTTCTTGTTCCCCAGGCATCTGCGTCCTCTGGGCTTGGTCTCTGGTTGTGTCATCATAAACTGACGGGTTCACCAAACTCTCCCGGATCAGTAGGTTCTGATTGGAGAAATCTATACGTGCTAAGATTTGATGCCTCGTCATGAGATTTCATGGTATGATTCGTTGAAAGTAAATACTACAACGACTGAAAGTACCGCAGCCGTTCGACTGCTGAATTTTACCGCCCTCGTTCATGATGTTAGATGTCATGTTTCCAGGGATTTCAGACGTTGTCAATTTACTCAGTCTCTGGTATGTAACGATGCCGAAAGGGTAAAACAACCACGAGTTGCATTAACAGACAGAACAGAACAGGGCACGATTGCATTACGCAAAACGCAGCTTCATTGCTCTGAACTCAACAGGCAGTTCGAAAAAAGGAAACCCTGAGAAAAGTTCAACACGCCCACGCACGCATCACGCATGGACTGGTAGACCGAACTGACATGCACTGTCTACGAACGGTGTCAACAAGGCATTCAACTGGCACATGGAAAGGATATTCACACACACACACACACACGCATAGACGCACGCAGCAACTTGGTGAACAAAAGTACAAAACCTAGGGACAGGACAGGACGAGCCAACGCAGAAAAGCAAAAGCACAGAACGAAACGGTTGATCTGCTCAGGGCCCCCAGTGAAGGCCGATCAGCTCGTCGACGGCCAGTCCCGGCGGATGTCGAAGGTGTAGTTGATCTCCAGGTAGCACTTCCGGTCGTCGTCGAGGAACTGTCAAAACAAGATGCCAGACCTTGTGAGCTCTCAAGTCAAACTGAACTGAAAAGGACTCGTTCTGCATCCACGTACCTTGGTTCTGGCAGAGTAGAACCCCCGGGCAAACATTCCTGACGGGGTGGTGTCCTCTGCCGTCACGTACGTGTAGGGCTCCAGCTGGGGGCTGAACGTGCCGAGCATCTCCTTGGCTCTGTCAACTGCGCCACCGCGTGACAAGACAACAGAGCAGATCGTGAACTGTGACCAAACTGATGATTGGCACAACTAGGGGTAGGGGACGTGGTCGTGCGCACAAATGGTGACATGGTGTGTTCCGCCAGAATCATATCAAGAGCGGTTGGCTTTCAGCGTTTCAGTGTCTGTCTCACCTTTGAGGCCAGTCTTCCAGACGGTGTTGATGTAGCGGAGGCCGGAGACGATGTTGTTGCTGACGGAGAAGGTGAACTTGAGCCGGTACGGGGAGCCTTCCTTGAGTGTGAACCACACGCCCTTGGCGTTGGGCTCCACCGGCAGCGGCAGGAAGATGTCGGGCTGCCCCGGCGACAGGATCGACAGGCTCATCATCTTCACGTCCGGCTCCAGCGTCTCTGCGAACATTTCAAGGATGTTCAAAATTCAGATCTGCTTCGAGATAGTACTTCCATCTCCCATTCATTCAAACGGCTGAGAAGGTTTTAATGTACTACAGCACTTTAATTTCAAACAAGAATCGTTCGGAAACTCTGTTCTTTATTGGAGGGCAGGCTGTTTCTGAGCATGAACGCATGAAGATGTGCCTAAACGTTCCTAATGAAACCAGAAACGTGCTTAGCATAGAATGAAAAATTCGCGATGCATGAAAATGTGTACTAACATTCGTCTAAAAAGTCTAAACCAAAAGGCAAGTGCTCCATGAACAAATGCCTGCATCCTGCAAAAATGTGCTGATCTTAAAAGCAGCAAAAGCACCAGATAAACTACTACCTGACATTGGAAGGTGCTGACATCGGTATCCTTTTCAGGATTGGAAGGTGCTGAAATTGGTATCCTATAGCTGCACTTCTAGTGTCCAGGATCCAAACTATCATTTGCAGAAGACCAAATGTCCAAATAGCAATAGCCGGTGCCCCTCCACAATTTTCTTCAGAAACGACCGGCAGAAAAGACAGGCAAAGCCGGCCGCCGGCAGGCCGGTCGGCCGGTCGGCCGACCGACAATTGCATCCGAGCCCACCGGCCACCGCCTCTCACTTTTACCGGCGTCTTTATTTTCTACGGCAGAACGCAGCACGATTACGCGAACGTTACGTGCAGTAGTACGGAGTGTGGCCGGTGCATAGTGCATTAGCGAAGAAAACGGATTAATAAGCAGTTAAGCACGTCACGGGACACAAATGAATGGCCGGCTCACGGCATCGCGGTCACGGGACCATCTCTTGGCATGGCGGTGTTCACATGCGTAGCCGTAGGTGATTCATGTGCCGGCGCCCCACTGGCGCCATTAAACCCAAGGACGCCAGAACGGACGGGCGAGCCAATCAAACGCACGCACCCAGCAAAATTTGCTTAAAAATCTCGAATTTTTTTAGCTGCGAGTGCGAGTTTACCTCCCACGGAGTTGAAGTCCACGCTGCCGAGGAGCTGCTCCTTCCATCGCCGCAGGCTCTCGTCGTCCTGCAAGTGAAACGCAACCCCCAACAAGTATTATTATTAGCGAAGAAACGCACTTGAATTGAAGTGGCTCCTCGTAACCGAAAGAGACCAGCTGACCAGCAAGATCGTCGACATGCATACGGGAAGGAAGCTAGGCAGCATCAATGGCGGGCGAGAGGGAATGCATGGCAGCGAGCGAGCGAGCGTCCGTACCTTGTCCTTCTCGAGCTGCTCCTTGATGCTGACCCTGGGGCTGAGGTCGATGACCTTGGGGGCCTTCTCCTCGTCCTCCTCATCCTCCTCCTCCTCCTCGTGGCAACGCGGCGTCGCCTCGCCGCACTTGCCGTTGGGCTTGGGCGCCGCGTCGCCGCCGTGCACCGCGGGCGCCGCTGCTTTCTTGGCCGCCGCCTCCGGCTCCGGGCCGGCGGGGACGTCGACCTTGGAGCAGGAAATGGCCTCCACCGCCGACGACATCGTCGCACGCACGCGCCGGGAAAAACTCTCTTCTCGCGCAGTGGCGTCAGCCAGCCAAGAGGGCGCGGTACGAGCAGAGAGCGGCGGGGCAAGAAGAGGGAAGCGTGGCAGGGGCGGCAAAGCAAGGAAGGCGAGGAGAGGCGAGCACAGCACACACGAGACGAGACGTGGAGAGGAGAGAGGGAGGCGGACACGTCGATGCGGATTCGGACAGGGGCAAAGGACTGCGGCGCAAGGCTCCAAAAAGAGGGGGCGCGCGCACGCAGAGGCGCAGAGCGGACGCCGGACGACGAGGGGAGATGGTTGGATCCAACGATCAGAGATTAGCAGCGCCAGCGGCAGAGAGGATAAGGGGGGCTTTAATTCCCCCCCGGGAGAGCCGCAGCGACGGAGAGGCGACGGAGTGGAGACAACGTGACGGGCACGACCCAACGCGCCGCGCTGCAACTGCAACCCTTACAGGTTGTACACCTGTGGACTGTGGTGGCGTTGGTTAGGGTTTTAATTCTCGAGACGACGCGAATCGCGATGGGGATGAGAAATGAGATCGTTGGTGGTTTTGAATTCTCTGACAGCGCAACGAAACGGGGTAGAGCCAGCCCTGGTCATTGTCATTCTTCAAGTTGGGTCAGTAACAGTGTCTCTCAGTAAAAACTAAGAACACTGGTGGTGGGAAACTTCCGTTAACTGCATGATTAAACTGGCCGGCGCAAGTCATCCGGTCAAGTAAAGATCTGAACGGCGTCTTTCCCTGTCCGCGCGGGCAGCTTTGTGCGGATTCTTGTCCGATGTGGCCCGCCCGTGCCGTTCATCACGCCCCAATCATGGATCTGCAGTCCTGCACCCGCTCCAGGCCATTCGATGCGGCGTAACGCTCGAAATCAGTGGGCGGCACCGCTGGGCAGGCAGTACCACGGCTCAGCATGTCAGCATGTCGACACGAGCAGGCAACTGGTGCGCCGAATTTTCCGCTCCATTCAACCTGGTTGGGGTCCAAAGTGCATGGAAACTTTCTGCCGTGTGAAGAATCCTGCCGTGCTAGACACTGTTAGAAGATTTAGTCTGGCCAAATAATATTTTCAAATAAACACATGGTATCGTAGGAGGACTTTTCCAACGCTGTTACTCTTGAGTGAGGCTAACTTAAATAGTTGAGTTGTCTCCATCTAGTTGAAGCTATTGGGGAGATGAAAAGGAAGAAACACGCGCTCGCTCGCCTCGTCAGGCTGGGGCGATGGGTGTGGGCGCACGCGACATGGTCCAGCGATTTCTCGCCTCGACCTTGCGGGTGTGCGGCTTTCTTTTGCTACTCAATATTTTTTCATGTACGGAGAAAATTGCGTAGGTCTATTTTGGCAAGCAATTATTCTTGTATTAATGATGATTGCCCAAATTGCTCTAGTCGACTAACGGCAGACCAATCACGCTAGTGTTGTGATTGCGCGGCTAATTACTTTTCTTAACTACGACGCGTGTATATATATTGGGACGAGACGTCGTCCGACGTCATCCTCAGTACAGAGAATTCATCTCCTCCTTTTACCACCGTGCTGTGCTGCCGTTGTCTTCCCCATTTGTCGCCGACGTGTCATCGACGCCGGGAGAGCAGGTCTCCGACGTCCTCTTATGACCCTACACGGGGTAGGGGCCGTTTTAGGTTTTTGGGAAGCGTCATCGCGACTGCTCGCTCGATGTCTTCCTCCCTCTACACCGGTGTTCGTGCGTCTACATCGACAGTCTTTCCTTCGTCTACTCTCAGCACCCTGACTACCAGGATGTCTACAGTTCTTTGTTGTTCGTTCTAGCTTTCCTCATGTTACTAGCACTAGGGAATTTGAGTTTGTCTCGGACCGCAGTGCTAGTGTTAAATCACACACTTATGATACATGTTGTTGTTCTTTTCCCTTGTCAGAATTAATTTATGCATCGTTAAATTGCTATTATTTCCGACAGACACTGCCAGTGATCAATGCGACTATGCCGGCGCAGGCAGTGAACGGAGGCTGGCCATGCATTGTATTTGCGCTAATGATCATGACCTCCCTGTGTTGATTTAGCCTCCGTTTCAGCACAGCCAGAGAAGTGGTGGCACTCTGGACTGGAGAGGCATCTTTTTCAAAACAAATTTGTTACACCAGAAGAGAGAAGAGATTACAGAATGACGTGATCTGTGTTAGACATTTAACCTTCTCCATTTTGGTTTCTCAATAGAATGCTGAAGTGGGTTGGTTAGTTCCAAACCTTAGAAGGAGTATTTGCTTCCGTTGGCTTGCCAGACAGCAAATTGGCCCCAAGTGTCTTAAATCGGACACCTAAGTAATGCCTGCAGGCTGCAGTAGGCAGCTTTGCCTGAGAGAAAAGCAATCAAGCCCTCAATGCTAGCATCTAGCGATAGTTTATAGTTAGGAGTTGGGGCTACAAAAATTACGATAGTAATTTTAACGGATCGATTAAAATTTCTTACAGGAAGCGGAAAGCACGCTGCATTTGACCAGGGGAATATAGATAATACAGTACAACTTTTTTGTGATCAAGGAGAAATGATCTATAGGCCAATTATAATGCAGCTCTTTTTTTAAGGTATAACGCAGCTCTTTAGAGCATCTTCAAAAGCTCTGTAAAACTACTTCCTGTTTTGTTGTTTGGTAAAAAAGAAAAAAAAGGCCCTCTAATAGTTTTTATTATCTCTTTCCAAAAAAATTATTTTGTGTAGATATAGAGTTAGAAATGTATTTCTTCATCGGAGAATATCTCTTGTTTGTCTGCTGAGCTGCCCGAGCATATCTGCTCGGTGAATTATTTGGCTCTGAGCACGTGGCCTAGCGGTTATAACTTACAAGAGTTTTAGTAGCACCTTAAAGTCCTGAGTTCAACTTTCTATGGTAGTGAATTTAAGCAAATATGCTTTGTGCTAATGAGTCATAGAATTAAATGTCTACGGAACAAAGAAATAAAGATATACATCGAGAATGATTCTTATTGCATTCTACGTTCCTGCAAACAATACTACAAAACTTTTCACTTCACGCCTGTTTGGCACAGCTTCACCGTCAACTTCATGAGTTATTTTAAGTTGTTTTTTTCGCCAAACATGCCTTTTGCAACTTTTGAGAAAATATTTATGCAGAGCTATTTTGCCAAACAATTTACCAAAATAACTTTAAAGCTGCTCGTGGAGATATGTAAAAAAATGTTTTATTGCAGAAGTTGGGATGTGTCGGGTATCGATATTAGTGATACCTAAAGCAAGGGAGTTAGCGCCCGCACTGAATTTCCCGGATGGTTCGAGACGTATTAGAAGGTCTCGCCCAACCCCGAGGTCGTGGTCTCCGTCTCGCCCGACCCCGAGGTTGCGGGCTCCGTCTCGCCCGACCCCTTGGGTGCGGTCTCTGTCTCGCCCGACCCCAAGGACGCAATTTCTATCTCGCCCAAGGTCACGGGCTCTGTCTCACCTGACCTCAAGGCCGCGGGCTCCATCTCGCCTGACCCCAAGGACGTGGGCTCCGTCTTGCCCATCCTCGAGGCACGGGCTCCGTCTTGCCCGACCCCTTAGGTGCGGGCTCCATCTCGCCTGACCCCAAGGACGTGGCTTCCGTCTCGCCCAAGGTCGCGGGCTCCGTCTCGCCTGACCTCGAGGACGCGGGTTCCGTCTCGTCCGATGGGGACCCATACCGCCACCAACCACTCCAGGTCCAAGCGTATGGGCCTGAGTCAAAACTCTAACACCAGGAAAGAGGCTGGCACGCCTCGATGTAACCCGTGGCCATGACGGGCCATACCTAACGATTCACATCAAGAACAGTGTCGGGCGTGCCAGTACTATTCTGCCTAATCCTCGTATGGACGCTGACAGACGCGTCAGTTCACCACGACGTCCGCCGGGACAGAGTAGGACGCCATGACCGGCAGATGACGCATGCGCATGGCGCCAGTGACAAATAGGGCCACGACATAGAGCCGTCCCTGTTGACATCTACAGGATCAGCGGGACCCGCATGAAGGAGAAGAAGGACCCAGCGACCCTAGAAGCCTTCTTCTCTCTCGTTCTTCTCCTTTTCCTTCTCTGTAACCCGCGTTTTCCCTTCACCTATAAAAGGGGAAGCAGGGCGCCCCACGCTAGGTAGATCAAAACACAAGAGCACGACACAAGCACATGGCTGAGCAGTAATCGAGCTCTCAGCACCCGTTCACTCCTTCCACTAGAGACTTAGAATCCTTTCCCTCTCTCGTCTATTTGTAACCCCTACTGCAAACCAAGTGCCGGTAACACGAGCAGCAGCGAACTGGATGTAGGGACGTTCCGCCCGAACCAGTATAAACTCTTGTGTCCTCCGAGTACACCATCCGAGCCAGACACGTAAACACAAATTTACTCGTCGGTGGTCCGAAAACACCGACAATTGGCGCACCAGGTAGGGCCTTTTTGCGCGTCTCGACATCCACATCAGGCCTCGGATGGCTAATCATGGCGTCAGCTGGGTCCCGGGCGCGCACGTGCGCTTTGGGAACCTCGACTTCATCGTTATGACAGAGCGAGAGTTGGCGCAGGCTCTCCACTCCGAGGTGCTTGAGGAGCTACAGCTAAAGCTAGATATCGAGCTGGCTCAGCTCGGCTCGGCTCGGTCTGGCTCGGTAGGATAACGAGCTGGCTTGGCTCGGCTTGTTATTCCTAACGAGCTAAAAAACTAGCTCGTTTCAGCTCGGGAAAAAGCTCGAGCTAGCTCGTTTGGCTCGTGAGCCAAGGATGAAATTAGTGTGGAGCTAGCTCGGAGCCATCCCTCACACCTGCATGGGGAGGGCGTAACGGCGATGCTCCTCAGCAGGCACAAGCGGATGTCGCCGCAAAGATGGGTCAATTTGCAGCGCAGGACGTCGATTTGGTCGGAGATGAATTGCTACGCACCGTGTCGATCTGCTCGGAGACAGCTCGATTACGGCGTACGGCGTTGATTTGGCGAAGTCAAGGGTGGCGGAGGTGACCGATGGCAGGAGTGACTCAT